AGACTGAGCAAAGGGACAGGCTGGGCAGGCCACCTTCTGCAGAGCCCCAGGGTGACTGTTACCTCTCACAGGGTCCTGCCTGGATTGGTTGGGTTTTCATACCCTACCTTGCTTAGTCACCAGATGTGGCTGGACTGAGAAGGACATGACTACAGGAGGAGACTCTGCAGCCAGGCGGATCCTAAAGGACCTGACAACCAGAGACTGTGACCACACTCCCCTCAGCTGGGTGGCAAGTCCTTTGGAAAGATCTGGGCAGTGTATCTCTGGGCATCCTTACTTCCCCAGGTTGTTATTATCAGGATCCAATAATCCAGAGCTTCTAGCAACCCTGTGGGTGGGCCAATACCTATTCCTGTTGGCCTATTAGGAATGCCTTCATTCATCACGCCTTTCACTTCAGGCATGGAATTGCCTGTACTAAAAGATCCTGGTGATCTGACTAGTTTCCTAGCACTGAAATTCTGAGTCAGAAAGTTGAAAAAAAGGGATGTTAAGATAGTTATCACTTCTGTTCCCAGAGCAAGCAGGATTCTGGATTACCTCCACAATGAGCAGCCCCTTGGGCTTGTTCTGTTGTGCAGAATAAATATAATTTTTAAAGCTTTAGGATGCACCACTTGAGAGTCATCTTTTCTTGACCCTTCATTCAGTCACTGGACATATATTTATTGGTCATCTACCATCCACCCCAGGCTCCACGCTAGCCATCAGAAGCAGACGGATAAGCTAGTCATATAAGTCACATCTAGTGGAAGAGAAAAAGTGAACAAGTAAACACAGAAGTGTACATAAGCATATTTTTGGAAGCTGGCTCATAATAGATGCTGCAGAAGAGAGTAAAGGGGAGGGGGCAGTGGAGAAGGGATGAGAAGGGAATTCAGAAGGACAGTCACGCCCTGGTGGAATTTATATAATATCCTAAGCACAATGGAAAGTCACTGGAGGTTTTAAGCAATGGATATCCTGATCTGATTTCTATTTTTACAAAAACATGCTCAAGAAAAATGACTAGCAGGTCAGTGGCAGTGGTCTCAGGAAGACCAGTCATCCAGAGTAAAGATGAGCAGGGAGCCACAGTGCAGATGGGGAAGAGTGGAAGAATTCAAAATATACTTTTTAAAAAAATAGTTGACTCTCTCTGCCTTTAAGAAATTCACACTGTTGGAAAAAGAGAAATGCAAACAATATTAACCAGTTACTTCAGCAAAAATATCAAAGGTACTGGATAGAGCATACGATGGAGTCTGGAAAACTTCCAGAAGGAGTCAAGATGCTCACAGTAGTGTTGAAGCTGAAGATTAAAACATAAGCATGCATTTGCCAAGAGAAGCGATGGTGCGATGGTGGGTGGTGCTTCTAGCCGAAGTATGGTGCCCATGGCAGCCATGAATATGTGCCTGAAAGACCCCCAACCAGGGAGTCTTGTATGACCAAAGGACCAACCTCTATCTATGCCAACCTGCATGTATTGTGTCATTGCACTTGCCACTTTGTGTTTAGAAATCTGTTTGTACCACTCCTTTTCCTCCCCAGATTTCAACCTTCTAAAAAAGTCTCTATCTTGTTTATTGTGGCAATAAGTATTTCTTGATGAATAAATAAAAATTCTCCCTAATGATCACACCCTTAAACAGTGATGGCTTTTTCACTTCCCAGCCCTCCTTGTTTACGTCATATTGTGCACTGATTTCAAAGGCTTTGCCTTCAGGTGTGGTCTCCTTAACTAAGTGGCTTTTCCTGAGCCACCATGTTCTAAAGGGCCCCCTGAAGACTATTCAGTGAAATGAGGGAACAAAAAAGGATTTAAGTCAATATGCCGTTCTGACTAATGGGCTTTTATTCCTTTCTTGGTTACCAGAATGATGATGTGACTTTGCCTGCAGCTAACAGAGATCATCTGCTGAATGCATCTGCAACATGTCTGCTAAAAAGAACTGGCCTTCAGGAGCACCACCTCCTCTCTCTCCCCAAACTTCTCATTCCACACAGACCCTCCCTTTGGAGGACACTGAAGTAGAACCAGATGAGAGTGTGCAGGATGAATCTTCATTTTCTGAAGACGAAGAGTCTTTGGAGGAGGAAGAGGTTCTGGAGGAGGATGAGTTTCTGGAGGAAGAAGAGTTCCTAGAGGAAGAGTATCCGGAGGAAGAAGTGTATCTGGAGCAGGGGAAGTCTATGGAAGAAAGGGACTACCTGTTTGACAAGTACCCTATCCTGGAAGACAGTGAGTATCTGGAGGAGGACCTCCCACAGGATGGTAGCTAATTCCCCACATACCCAAGGAAAAAGAACAAACCTGAGATATATACATACCTGAGATAAACACAAATGGCCTGCTCTATCCATGGTGCTGACAGATAGGCGTGCTAACTACTGACAAGTTCTCACAATTACAATAGCCACACCCCACAGCGCTGTGCCCACACAGCAGACAGGGAATGTTGAAAAACATGAAGAGCCTGCTTTTTCTTTTCTCTCTCTCCTTCTTCTTCTTTTTTTTTTAGTTTTTTGTCATAGGGCAGGGGGCAGGTGCACTCACCAGAGAGAGACAGAGAGAGGGAAAGTGAGAAATCACTCCCTGGAGGGGTGGCTATGCTGCAATTCCTTCTCCATTCTCTTCTGGAGATTTTGGGCACACATGCACATGTGCCTGGTGTGATTTTCAAGCTACCAGGTCTGAAACTCGAATCACAGAGTTGTCCAAATGGGAGTCCAGCAACTTAATCACACCACCTGCTGGTCCACTGTTTATTTTAAAATAATAGTAATAATAATTTGTATCTTTTTTCTTTTCCTTTTGCACAAGTAATACATGTTCATTGTGGATGTTTTTACAAATTATATTTAAGGGGACCAGCAGTTAGCGTAATGGCTATGTCGCTGGACTCCCACGTAGTCGATCAC